CCCGCCATAAAAGAAATTAAAATGTAAGCTAAAATTGTGGGTGCGCTTAACATTTTCGTGTGCACTGCCTTATTTTAATGTCTGCATTTTACAGGTAAGAAAACAAGGGTTCGGCTTTAATTAAGGTGCCCAGCCACACAGAACCCAGGCATTCCAACAACTACCCTGGTGGCCTTTTCGCCACGCCATGGCTGCACTAAAGTGCACGGGGGCTGTTTCTGGTCCGGGGATTTCCCGGCCCCCCCGACTCCTCACTCACCACTACCGCCTGTCAGTGACTACGCGTGCATTTTGCCTTCACCCTGCAGCGCGCAGTGGGTTAGTTACCGAGGGCAGGTTCTGGCCTTCGAATGTCGAAAGCAAATAAATGGCCTCCTGAATAGGGCTCATTCTTATCCTTCGCTCCCGAGGTGTTGCTCTCCTCTCTACCCGAGAAGGTCATCGTTCCTAACTCCCGCCACGTCCGCACGGACTAACCGGGCCTCGCAGCAGCTCAGCCTCGGTTTTCCCGCCCTCAGCTTCGGCAAGCACCGCCGGCAGCTGGGGGCCAGGGCCTGGACGTATCCACAGGCTTTCCTCCGCCGCCTATCGTCTTGCTCTCATTGGATAGCCTTACCTTTTCCCCGCCCCCAAGGTTTTTGCTTCCTCATTGATTAAACTTTGGCATTGTCCATTCGACTCAGACACCGCCCCCTCTCCACCCACTAGCCCCCATCCCGTTCTCTTCTGTCCCTTGTACCCCTCCTGTGCCCCCATCTAGGGGGAATGGGTAAACCATGGCCTGAGCTTTAAAGGCACCAGCTCCTCCTCCTGCCCCAACCCACCCACAGGGCCCCTCCTCTCCATCTCCCAGGCTCAGCTTTCCATCACAAAGCTCCCCCAACCTGGTCTTGTCCCCGCCTCCTCTGCCCCGCAACCACCTCTCAGACGCTTTAGGCTCTCTGGCAGAGCCGGCGGCGCGTGGTGGGGATGCGCTCCATGAGAGCTCTCCAGAATACCCTGAGCCGGGCCGGCAGTCACTGCCCTGGGGGAGGCTGGGGTCATCTAAGCCGGAGTCCCCTCCTTGGCTGGGGCGTCCGGCACCACCTCAGTGAGGCCGCGGCGCAGGGCAGGGAGACGCCGCACAGCCACCAGCCGCCGCACCAGGATCAGTAAGGCTTGGGAGACAAGGGCTGGGGCCAGGCTTGCTCCCGCTCGCATTGCTTTCGCTGGCTCTCGAGTTCCCTTCCCCCAGGAGCGCACCTCTTGTCCCTCTCTTCTCCTCGCTCACTAGCCTGCGACGCCTTTTCCTTTAAATTTGGGGCTTTGGGTCCGCGCGCGGGCGGTAACGTGCCGTCCGCCCGGGAGGGCGATTGGGCAGGTCGATTCCCGGGATGGTGCCAGTCCAAGGTGTGTACTTCACGGGGGACGCAGTGGGCGCGGAATGTTGCTTGGTGCACGTGTCTGAGTGCAGGGCCGTGTCCGCCCATCCTCACTCTCCCTCTCCTCCCTCATAGGGAATGCGTGGGTATGGAACAGCCTCCTGCCTCCTGTCCAGGTGTACTTTGGGTCTGTCTGTGTGATGTGTGTTTCTGCGTGTCTTTGGCGTGTAACGTGTGATGCCTGTGTATTACTGGTGCGCAGCTACGTGCGTGTGTCGTTTGCATATGTGTTGGGTGTGTGCATAGTCAGGGCTCCCTGAACTGTAGAATAGGGTTTTCTCACTGGTTGTTGAATGGGGAGAGTATTTGCAGTAGGAGAAAAAAATCGTAAGACGCAAATTTCCCAAACCAGAGACAGAACCGTTGTTTGTGCCGCTCAGACTCTCTGATTTAAAGGGTTCTTTTCCCTTGGGCACTTCTTTCCCGAGAGGCCGAACCTCTCTCACCACACTTGGTGGCAGAGGGTCTTTTCTCCCAGACACACACGGAGCTGAGCAGGAAATCTTGTCCTCAACAGAACGCCAATACAGACACTACCCAAGTAGCGCCTTCTCTAGTAGGAACTAGAGCTCTCTCCCCGTTATCGACATCTGCCTGATGACACGCACATCATAATTAGACAGTCACAAGCACTACCTTACCACCACTGCAATCCCTGTCCTGACAGGCACAGACCAATAAGGTATTACTTATTATTAACAATAATTATGCTGTACTTTTCCATCAGCCTCTCCTCAGAGTCTCGGAATATTTACGCTTTAAAGGATAAGGTCTCTCCCTTCTGTTCTACTCTCCACCCCAACTTCCTCCCAAATGATCACCACGGGAGACAGAAATAGTAGTGGGATAAAGCAAAGGTTTAACCTCCCTCACCCACCGCTGTAGGATGGGGAGCTAGCAGTATCTCTGCACACACACACCCCCATACCTGCTTATCCAGTGGAGTCAAGTGGTAGTGGTGTTTTTAGGGAACCTTGCTCTATCTCCTGCCTATGTCCCCCTGTACTCCAGGAACCTCTTGGTAGCAACATTAGACTGGTGCTCCCTGGGCCGAAGGGGTTGAGAGCACTGGAGGGGAATGGGCTCTGGGAGTGTGACGCAGTGAGAGGAAGGGGTTCCTGTGTTTGGGGGCAAACGAGGGCAGCAAAGAGAATGCCCTGTTATTAGGGTTACTGGTTTGTTTTTCTTTCTTCATATTTTAACTTTATTCGTTTTCTGATCATAAAAGAAAAACCAAGATAAATACAGAAGAGTATAAAAATCCCAATACTAGAGATAACCAGTTAATACTGTGATGTATATCTATATATATCCCGTGTGTGTGTGTGTGTGTGTGTAAAATTTAACAAAAATCAGATCATAGTATTCATATTCTTTAGTAGACTATCTTTTCCATTTATGAACAGCTTCTAATATTGAATATATGTGTGTTTATATATCTGCATATATATATGGATATTAGGAGCCCTGGTGGCACGGTAGTTAAGTGCTCGGCTGTTAACTGAAAGGAGGTTGGTAGTTCAAAGTGGTTCTGCAGGAGACAAGATCTGGCAATCTGCTCCCATAAAGATTACAGCCTAGGAAAACCTATGGGGCAGTTCTACTCTGTCCTATAGGGTTGCAGTCATGGTTTGAGTTATGTCCCCCCAAAAATGTGTGTATCAATTTGACTGGGCCATGATTCCTGGTACTGTGTGATTTCTGTATGTGTTGTAAATCCTGCCTCTATGATGTTAATGAGGGAGGATGGGCGGCAGTTGTGTTAGCAGGGCAGGACTGGAATTACAAGATTGGACTGTGTCCTGAGGCAATCTCTTGAGATATAAAAGACAGAAGTGAGCAGAGAGTTGGGGGACCTCATACTATCAAGAAAGCAGTGCTGGGAGCAGAGCGCGCGCGTCCTTTGGACTGGGGTCCCTGCGCCAAGAAGCTCCTAGTCCTGGGGAACATTGATGAGAAGGCCGACAGAGAGAAAAAGCCTTCCACTGGAGCTGACGCCCTGAATTTGGACTTTTAGCCTACTTTGACTGTGAGGAAATAAACCTCTCTTCGTTAAAACCATCCACTTGTGGTATTTCTGTTATGGCAGCACTAGATGACTGAGACAGTTGCTGTGAGTTGGGATCCACTGGATGGCACAGAACAACAACAATGCGTGGATATATGTATATGTACCAAATGACACTGTCATTTTAAATGGCTGTCATTTTGCCATTTTAAAAGATTCCATTGTATGAGGTAGCATAAGTTATTTAATTAACCAGTGTAAACTTTGATTACTATATACTGTTTTGTGCACTTGTTCAATTATTTCTTAGAATAAATTCCTAGGAAATTTTTCTCCCCAGAGACATCTGATGTCATTGATGTCTTATATAACCTTCTAGAGATATTTCATGCATCTATCAGCAAATACATATTGATATTATTGTCCCTTTTTTTTTTTATACAAATGGTATCATACTATACACATTGTTCTGCACCTTGCTTTTTCCCCTGATATTACATTGTATATCAATCTGTATCCGGGTCAAAGGGTATGCAGTTTTTTAAGGCTTGTGATATATTCAGTGGTGTAGCATTATTTCCCGTCTTGCTTCAGCTTCCAGACACAAAGACCTGTCCTCAAAGTGTTCCTGTGTCCATTCCTTCTCCAGTTATCCCTCAGAATTAGATAGCTTTTTCCCTCCTCTCCTGTCACACATGGCTCTGCTCCTCCCTATAAGCAACTAGCCTCATTGTGACCATTGGGTTTACCCAGAAACCGGAAGACTCTTCCCTCTCCTGTTATTCCTCCTGGCCCAATACACACACACATGCCTAGTCTATGGCAAGGTTCTTGAGAGTCTTTTTAATTTTTAGTATTGTTTCAATAGATAATGTATTCATATTGGTTTAAAATTCAAAATATACAAAAAGATACATAGTAAAATGTATCCCTCCCACCTCCTCTCCTACCTCTGCCCTCAAACAGTGATTCGTCAGAGAGTGGCATGCTGTCCCGCCTGGGTGATCTGCTCTTCTACACTATTGCCGAGGGACAGGAACGAATCCCCATCCACAAGTTCACTACTGTAAGTTGCCCTTTACTCACTCAGAACCCGAGTCCCTTGGGATCTCTAGAAAGTGGGATAGGGAGAGTAGGACACATGCAAGACAGGACAGCTAATGAGTTGCTACATGAGGATGGAGAATAGATGATAGCAGATGCCTAGGATGATGAGACAGTCCTGTCCCTGTCCCAGGGTGGGAAGATTGAATCTTCTGACTCAACCTATCTTCTTGATTTGGAACTTTGACCCAAGGGGTTCAGAAGCCAGCTGCCATTATGAGAAAGGGCAGGAAGCCCTTGTTAGCTTTCAAAGCTGCTCCATTCCCTCCTTTCTTAGTCTCTAAACCCATTTGTTCCACCAACTGTAGGAGTTGAGCAAATTAGGCACCACTGGGAAAGATTATTGGGAAATTATTGTCCTTGTAGCTGACCTTACCAGGCCTCTTCTTTCCCCTAAAGGCATTGAAGGCCACTGGTCTGCAGAGGTCAGATCCCCGGCTCCGGGACTGCATGAGCCAGATGCACCGCATGGTTCGAGAGTCCAGCAGTGGTGGCCTCTTAGACCGAGACCTCTTCCGAAAGTGAGGGCCCCAGAAACAGGAGCACCGCTCTAAACAATGATCTATGGAATCATAGGATATAAGAGCAGTGAGGGATCCTGGGGATCGTATAGTTTAACCTCTCATTTTATTACTTAAGTAAGACACAAATGTGTATATATTCATTATTAAAAGTCAAACAATATTGAAACGCATGTCCTCATTTCTCTCCCTCACTAACCCCAGTCTCTTTCCCTGGAAGTAAACATTAACAGATTAGTGGATATGTTCTAGATAATGTTCCATGTCTTTACAAACAAACATGAATATATGTAAATATACACATGTGATGTAGGAGTTTTTAAATATAAAGGTGACATGCTATATGTATTATTCTGGTATCTTCTGCTCCTAATGCTCTATCTTGGGTTATCTTTTCATATCATCACAACCCCACATTTCAGAGATGAGGAAACTAGGACTCAGAGAGATAAAGTGACTTGCTCAAGGTCACAGAGCTGTTGGTCCCAAACCTGATGACCTCTCACAACCTTCTTGATTGCCAACTTCCCTGGCTCCAGAGTGAGTCACGGCTGCATCTTCCAGCCCCCCCTAACCCAATCATGTCTGGGATCCAGGTGTGTGAGCGGCAACATTGTGCTCCTGACCCAGGCATTCCGAAAGAAGTTTGTCATTCCTGATTTTGAGGAGTTCACGGGCCATGTGGATCGCATCTTTGAGGATGCCAAAGAGCTCACTGGAGGCAAAGTGAGGGCCAGAGGACTAAGGGAGGGGCAAGGGCTCTGGGCCAGACAGGACTTGCTTCTCAGAAATTGCCTGGGGCTGGGATTCCAAAGGATGACAGAAGAGAAGCAGAACTTCTAAAAATAGGGACAAGGGCTTTTTGTATTTCTGGGGCCCTGTACATGTGATTCCTAGAGCAAGTGAGGCACTCGGAGGCTTTTATGGGGACAAGTGGCATAGGGAGTCAGTAGAGGCTTAAGAGAGGCCTATTGGGTAATTAAGCCTAAGAGCCGGAAGAAGGAAGCTGACCCCCAAATTCTCCTTTTACCTTCCATGGGCTTTACTGCCATCCCTACAGGGTTGGGGCCACAGAAGGATAAGGCCCTCTGTGACTTAAGGCTTAGGTGTCTCTGGGAGCAACAGGCTGGAGGGGGCCCCTCTGCCCAGCAGGAGACAGAATTTTCACTTTTTTCCTGAAAGACTCTCCTGACCCTGAACCTCAGCTTTGTTCTCCCTCTCTACATTCACATCTCCAGTCTGTCTCTTCTTTTCCACTCACGCGCAGGTGGCGGCCTACATCCCTCACCTGGCCAAGTCAAACCCAGACCTGTGGGGCGCATCCCTGTGCACCGTGGACGGTCAGAGGTGAGATGCTGGGTGAGAAGAGGGGGCGGCAGGCACAGAAGCAGAACAAAGGCTGACCCCTTCTGTGCACACGTCTCCCTCCAGGCACTCTGTGGGCCATACCAAGATCCCCTTCTGCCTGCAGTCCTGTGTGAAGCCCCTCACGTATGCCGTCGCCATCAGCACCCTAGGCACTGACTACGTGCACAAGTTCGTGGGCAAGGAGCCCAGCGGCCTGCGCTACAACAAGCTCTCCCTCAACGAGGAAGGTGAGCGCCAACAGGCCTCAGACCAAACCTGCGACTGCCCCCTTCTCATCCACATCCCCCACCCCCCACCTAGCCTGCTTTTTTGTTTTTTTTCTGACCTTCCTGATTAGCCCAGTCATGCCTTCCTCCCTAGCAAAGAAATCTTTCTTGTCTAACCTGCCGAGTGGGCAGGCTGGAAAGGAGACTTTGCTCAGTAGCTAATGAGTTTCTGGGTGGTTTCTATTTCCCCAGGAATTCCCCATAACCCCATGGTCAATGCTGGTGCCATTGTCGTCAGCTCCCTGATCAAGGTCAGTGGTACCCTAGCCTTCTGCAAGGTTCGCTTTTCTAAGCCCCCTTGATCCTGTATCTCTCATATCTGCCCAGCTCTCCAGGGAGACTGTTGTGGGCCCCGAATCCTTTGATGGTCCCAGGAAGCATGTGAGAGCATAGCAGGGACCCACATGTTACGCTGAGAATGTTAGTAAAAGGAACTACATCCCCCCACCTCAACACACACACACAGTTCCCTGCCCCCCACACCCATTGACTCTGGAGCCCAGAGAAGCGAGCAGGTCCTGACCCCTATCTAGGACCAAGGGCCAAATGCCAGAGACAGGGGGAGGACAGCATCATTAGGTGCTGATTGGCCACTTCTAGGTGAGCGACACACAGAAGGAAGGGTGAATAGCCAGGCAGGGGCAGCTATTCACGTCACCTGGAACTGTGAATTGGCCTTGAGCAAGGCTGTCAGGCTGGCCCATCAGCTGTAGGTCTCCCAGGGCTTGAGCAAGAACCTAGGAGCTGCGTGGGCAGCAACACTCTGGAGCCAATCACAGCCCCTCCCGGGGAAGGTGGCGTCAGGAACCCTCCCCCCAGAGGCCCAGGTGTTCTGTTGTGTGGGAGTCCCTGTGGTGTTGACTCTAGCTGACAAGTACAGGAAGCAATGAGGCTGGCGGAGGAGATCAGGTCAAGACTCCCTCCTTGCTCTCTGATGGCTCTATCTTCAACCCTGTATCTGGGACCTGTCTCATCCCCACCCCATCGAAGCTGGCCCTAATGGACTTGCCTCTTTAGCTTATTTCCGTTATCAGTATAATTGAGTATTATATAGGTAACAGATACCCTCATCCCATTTCTGTCATCTACTCTAGTCTTGGAGATGGGTATGGGAGTCAAGGATGGGCTACAGTAAGGCTCTAGCATGGACTGTAAGGAATGGGGATGGGAGTCAGGGATGACGAGGCTCATGGATAAGGGTGAGACTGGGGATGGGATTGGAGGTCAGGAAAATGAAAGGGGTGTCAGGAATGAGGGTTGGAATTGAGAATGAAAGAGGAGATGAGGCTCATAGGTGGTTTTTGGCTTTGAGAGTCTTGGCAAGGAAGGGCCTAGGCACAAACCATCACACTGCCTCTCTCATTGCCTAATAAATAGAAATGAAACAAATTATTTCACAACATAAACAAGTGTTCATGAAAAGGCTCAGAGGAACCTTGGAGGCGCCTATCTGCACACTTATTACTTGATAATAAATCTTAATGGTTTGGCTTATAAGGTGGTCAGATATGTATGGATATAAAAAGGTCTTTGCAACACAAAAAAAAAGTCATTGTAAAATGTAACATATTTCCAGTAGCAAACCAGTCTAACTCCACTAGGTCCTTCTGACCCTCCCTTCTGGCCATCCTCCCAGGCTGGAATACTGACATCTCTCTCTGTCTCTCTGCAGATGGACTGTAATAAAGCAGAGAAGTTTGATTTTGTAAGTTCCCTTGATATTATCAGCCCCTGCCGGCTTTTCTCCCTGGTGTGCTGTTCTCTCTAGTTGCCTCAGTGCCTGGCTCTAACCCCACTATACAGCAGCCCATACTAGAAGCCTATTCAGAGGTGTGGGAATCTGTTGGCCTCAGAGAGGGAAGCCTCCTCAAGTCCCTGCCCTCTCAGACAAGGCTGGGATAAGGACTGAGTTCAGCCAGGCTAGTCAGCCTGGTATGAGTGTAGTAGGGTCCTCAGTCATGTGGAACCTCCCGTGCCCCTTCTCTTCCAGGTGTTGCAGTATCTGAACAAAATGGCTGGATATGAATACCTGGGCTTCAGCAATGCTACGTAAGGCCCTGTTAAGAGGATTGGTTTGAATGCATTGTGTGTATGGTTTTTTGGAGGGTGGGGAGAAGGGGGTGAGAGGAAGAGAGAATCTTATAAGAAATCTCAAGGGAACTTTGGCCTCCCAGGTTCCTCTGAGCCCTTTCATGAACACTTGTTTACGTTGTGAAAAAATTTGTTCCATTTCTATTTATTAGGCAATGAGAGAGGCAGTGTGATGGTTTGTGCCTAGGCCCTTCCTTGCCAAGACTCTCAAAGCCAAAAACCTCACCAGTTTTGGATTTTTTTGTTTTTGTTTTTTACACTTTACAATAAAGCCATGCTCAGTGTTTGCATAGCTTCAGAGGTTTCCTTCAGTATCACTGTCAGAATTTATAAAGGGGATGATTAGTTTGACACCTATGATATAGTCCTGTCTCTCTCAGGGAAGGTGTTTTTTCCCCTTCTCCCCATACCTGCCCCTCAAATTTCAAGTACTAAATTGGGTGCTTATTTCAGATTCCAGTCAGAGAAGGAAACTGGGGATCGGAATTATGCCATCGGCTATTATCTCAAGGAAAAGAAGGTAACTGGCAGAAGCTGGCAGAAAAAGTTCCTGGGAATTCTGTGGCTGGTGGAGGGGTAACAGGAGGGGACTTTGGCTGAGATCCTGGCAGTGTGAAAGGGGCTGCTAAGGGTCTGAAGGGAAATGCTCTCCCCTCTCCTTCCTTGCAGTGCTTTCCTAAGGGGGTAGACATGATGGCTGCCCTTGACCTCTACTTCCAGGTAAGCAGACACTGCCGTTCAGCTGGGCTGAGGGAACATCACAGACTGCCTTCTTTGCTCCAACCTCTCCAGTGGTTCTGGTATCCTTCAGAAACACCAAGGGAACTTGTTAAAAGATGAAGATGCCAAGAATACTGCTCTACACCCAAGAGCAGGGTGTTCAGGTCACACCACACCCTCACCTCTCCCCGTCTCCACAGCTGTGTTCCGTGGAGGTCACCTGTGACTCAGGCAGTGTCATAGCAGCCACCCTTGCCAACGGCGGGATCTGCCCCATCACAGGGGAGAGTGTGCTAAGTGCTGAAGCAGTGCGCAACACCCTCAGCCTCATGCATTCCTGCGGCATGTACGACTTCTCTGGCCAGTTTGCCTTCCATGTGAGTGTTTCTGACCCTGCCACCTGTTTCCCATGAGCCCAGTGCCAAGAAGAGAGGACACTGAGTCTCTGAAGCTTGTTCTCGCCTCTCTCTCACCAACTTCCAGCCAGGCGATTAGGCCGAGCACCCTTAGGGGAGTTTGTCAAACACATCAAGTTCCTCACACACAAACGCATGGTGTTTCAGCTTCGGAACCACTCTTCTGCTGCCCTCCTTCAGGTCTCAGCTTAGATGTCACTTCCTCAGAGAGGCTTTTCTGACCACCCTATTTAAAGTGAGCCCCCTTCCACCCAGATTCTGTGTCATAGGACCCTACTTCTTTTCTTCTGGGTGTCTATCCTAAGCTGTAATTATTTTTGTCTATTTGTTTACTTGTTTATTGTCTGTCTCCCACTACCAGAGTATAAGTTCAATGAGGGCCTTTGTCCTAGTTCTAGCACTGCTTCCAGTCTAAAATACTCAATGGATAGTTCTTGAGTCAGTGAATTTAAGGGGGGCAGGGATAGGTATTGGAGTAAGAAAAGCAGCTGATAACCAGCCAAAAGGTCGAGGTGGGCGGTGGCCTTGCCCATGCAATCATTTGGGAACCCTAACTTGTTTATTAACCCAGATTTTGGGCATCCCCAGCTCATCCTTAGGCTCCACTCTCCCCTAGGTGGGCCTGCCAGCCAAGTCAGCTGTGTCGGGAGCCATCCTGCTGGTGGTACCCAATGTCATGGGAATGATGTGTCTGTCACCACCACTGGACAAGCTGGGGAACAGCCACAGGGGCATCAGCTTCTGCCAGGTCGGTTGCTTTGCATATAGTAGATATTCAATATTTTTGAATGAATAAAGCAATTTTGAGCTTCTACTAAGTGCAAAAAAGGAAACATTATCTCTGACTTACAATTCTAGAAGCTGGTGTCTGTCTTCAATTTCCACAACTATGACAATTTGAGGCACTGTGCTCGGAAGTTAGACCCACGGCGTGAAGGGGGAGAAGTTCGGGTAAGGAAAACCCCAGATGGCTTGTAAGAAAATTTCAGAATAGAATGTTCCATGACAGTTCAGCAATACCCTTGGCTAAGCATGGAGGGAGGAGGGTCACAGGGCAGAGCTGGGTTCAAACTCACAATTAATCTCAGGTGAGTATGATTTGTCTTCCAGAACAAGACTGTGGTGAACTTGTTATTTGCTGCCTATAGTGGAGATGTCTCAGCTCTTCGAAGGTACTTCTACTGTGACCAAAAAACACAATAAACCACTCCTGGTCAGAGATCTCATTAGGAGGCAAACAGCAAAACACAGCAAAATAGTTAAGTACTTCAGCTTTGAAGTCAGGCAGAATGGACACAGAGTGCATTTAGATGAGATTATTTAAAAAGTACAGCGTCTGCCACGTGGGAAGAACTTAATAGCAGCCACTGTCATTACCAACCTAGGTGATAAGAACTGAGTCCTAGGGGGTAGGCAGCCTACCTGAATTGACTACCAACATCAACAAATGCATACTGGACACCTATCATGGGTAGACAGTGATGTTTCTGGAATTATTACACTCCCGTCTTTCTGACAGAGGAGTAACAGTCTCATCTTGATACAACAAGGATTGTGTAGAACCTACAAGACCTTGGCATGAGCTCTGTTTTACTTTTTCTGGAACCCATCCAGACTGACCCTTCAGAAAGGACACTAGTGACTCTAGGTTGATCTGCGTCACACCAACTGCTTTCCACTACCCTCAGGTTTGCCTTGTCAGCCATGGACATGGAACAGAAAGACTATGACTCCCGCACAGCCCTGCATGTTGCTGCAGCTGAAGGTATCTGAAGGGTTAAATAAGAGGGGAAACATTATAAGACCATAACCCGTCGCTGTCAAGTTGATTCTGACTCATAGTGACCCTAAGGATAGAGAAGAACTGCCCCATAGGGTTTCCAGGGCTGTAATCTTTACGGAAGCATACTGCCACATTTTTCTCCTGCAGAGAAGCTGTGGGTTTGAACCACTGACCTTTCAGTTAGCAGCCAAGTTCTTAACCACTGTGTCACCAGAGCTCCCTGTAAGACCCTACATATTCCATATACCTTTGCCGGCATGGCCTTTCTTTTCTAACAAGAAAACTCTCATTTCATGTGTCCTCAAGGTGACAGAGGCAGCAATTAGTTTTGTCCAGATGCCCTTTAGACTGCAGCCAGACTATTATTGAGTGTTGCAGGGAGCAGAACGGGAAGAGGCCTGTTTCTCTCCCTTCTTGGTACAGATCCCAGCTGCCAAGGGTCTGCACCAATGTTAACACCGAAGGGTTCAGGACCTCTGCTCTCTCATTCTCCCTCTGTCTGTATTCCTAGGACACACTGAAGTTGTTAAGTTCCTGATTGAGGCCTGCAAAGTGAATCCTTTCGTCAAGGACAGGTGAGTAAGCTTAAGCTGGGGGTGGGGTGGGGTGCAGGACAGCATGCCCACCACTACCCTCCAGCCAGCACACATGGATATAACCAGTGCACTCTCAGTGCCTTCTCTGTCTCACGATGGTCTTTGTTCTTCTCAGGTGGGGCAACATTCCCCTGGATGATGCTGTGCAGTTCAACCACCTGGAGGTGGCCAAGCTGCTTCAAGATTACCAGGACTCCTACACACCACCTGCGACTCAGACGGAGGCCACGGCTGAAGCTCTGTCCAAAGAGAACTTAGAGAGCATGGTGTGAGCACAGGGCGTGGACACAGTCCCTGTGCAAGAAAAGGCGCGAGTTGGCCGCACATTTAACCCATAACCACTGAAAACGTTATGGAGAGCTACACTGCTTCCGTGGGGACCAAGAAAGTCATTTGGTGACTTAGGCCAGTGCTTTTTGTGAGTTAAAATACCCTATTCCCTTGGCAGACAGAGCGTACAGAAGGGTCTTAGTGGACACTTGCAACAGAGCTACCCAGAGACCATGGGCTTCTCTGAGGTACAGTCTAACGGCTTGGCCCACTCAAAACCTTCCCAAGTTTTCACCCAGGTCCCCTATTCCTCTCCCTGTAGAAACCATAACTGAGAGACACTCTGGTGGAGGGGCTCCTGCTACCACACACGTGTATATATCCCAGAAGAAGGGAGAGGAGGACCTATGCACCTGGAGAGATCTGCCCCCATTAGCCAGGACATGCTGCTACTGCTTACAGCAATTTTATAGACAGAGAAAGTATTTTGTGCTCCAATAAACTTTAATTACACAAATCATTATTTTTGCTAAGCCCAGCCTTTCTCTTTCTCCCCTAGGGGTATCCAGCTGCATCACCATTATAGAAGGTAGAAAAGATGGAACCACAGAGTCAGGGCCCAAACAATACATATTTCACATACATACTCATTCACCCCACTTGGTTTTCCCTGACCCCAAATACTGCTTTAGGTTAAGTGCAACCTGCTGCCAAGAGGGATGGGGGCTTGGGTCTGAGCAGGCCCAAAAATGGATTGTGCAAAACCTCAGGCATCTCTCTGTAAGTTCCAACTGTGGCAGAAATGAATACAGAACTTCTCAAGAATCAATGCTTTCTAGCACTAACCCCCTATATATCTCCTAAGTGTTTCTTCCCCTTTGGTCATGATTGTAACGGGCACAACGATTGTAACAGATTGGCTGAGTGTCAAAGGTGTGCAGATTAAGGCAAATAGACTCCGAGTGGGGATAGGTGCAGCTGTGTGGGGCTGAGGGTCTGTGGCATTGAGGTATGGGGGACGGCTCTGTTCTTACTTCAACATACTGAGTCAATAAAGCACTTACTGAGGGAGCCAGAGCCCATATTCTGCATGTGTTATAGAGAAAGGGCCAAATAACCGAATTACCACTCCTCCAGCCAGAGGCAGAAAGGATTTACTCTGAAGAGATGTGGTAGAGCTCCAAGAACAAACAGAAGTTACATGTAGGCAAGGGAGGGAGAGGTATCACAGTGATGAATAAATTCAAATAAAGCTCAAAGACACTCCCCAAACTGAATACAGTCAGAAGGTCTAGGCACAGGGAGGCAGAAGGGCTGAAGGAAGCAAGTCAGGGAAAGCACATCCATGGTAAGCTAGGAAACTGGCATAGTTTGGGGTGCAGGGGGTGGTGGTGGCTACGTATGCCTAGCTTTCATGGGGTAGGGGAGAGGAAGATGGTTAAGATACTGCACAGAGGACCCAACAGTGAATTGGGAGCTACAGGCAAAATAAAAAGGCTTCAGACACTTTCAGCAGAAGACAAATCAAGAACATGATTAGGGGCTCCAATGACGGACATACTAGAGACCCTCAGGCACCTCAAGCCCTGAGTGGGTCAGCAGTTCTCCATCCCAAAGGGCAAAGGCAGGTACTACTGGACCCCGGAAATCTGTCTGTAGCACGTGGACCACAGCGACCCGGTTCACATCCACCAGGCTCAGCCTCTGGGCCTCATAGTCCAGCAGCAGCCCCACCTTCTCTGGCTGCCCGATGCCCTCAATTGGGGTTTTCTCCTTGACCAGCATGGTGTGCCACTTGCGCTGGGCGTAAGTGAACACCCAGGAATGGTCATCAACACCGATGCAGCTATCCCGGGATATATCCACATCTGCCACTCCTATCCGGAATTGCTGGGAGCGCTTAACTGTCACTTCCCAGTAGTGCCTGCCGCTGGTGACCGCTGTGTCTGCCAGCACCACTGCCCAGTCCCGGAAGCGCTCAACATTCAGGGCTACCTTGGTGGGCTCCAATCCCACCATGCCATATTTGACACCTGTGTCACCTTTGAAGAGTGCCAGGCTGCTGTGGGCGGTTTTTTCTTCCAGTTTGAAACTGATGCCTGCGGGCAGAGCAAAGAGACTGGATGATGACAGGGGCCAGAATCCTAGGACTGGGGGTATACGATGTGAATCAGGCAGTCATGAGATAACGTGGAAACAGAGAAGAGTAAGAATGTCAAGCGGGCAACAGAGTAGGGAGTTGCTGTAGTATGGCCAGCCCCAGGGGCTGAAAAGCTCAGTTTGGGGGAAGCTCCGTGATTTAAAGGAATTGCATGGTGTCCCAGGTTTGGAATATCGATACCAACGCAGACAGGGAGGAGAGTGGCCTGGGACGGCTGAAGTTGCTTCTCGGAGCAGGCTCTGGGAACAAAAGGCGGAAACTTTCCATTCTGGAGGCAAAAGATGGTAAAAATTGATGACCCTACCTCTCCGGGCTTCCGCGGCAGCAATTCTCAAACGTTTGGCTCCCCAGCTGCACAGCCGCAACGAACATGCAAAGTGCAGCGCCATCTCGCTCCCCTGTTGAACAGGGCACGCCCCCTAGCTGGAGACCCCGCCGTGGGCGGGACAGACTCCCCTCCACGTGGTCCGCGGGAGGCGGTGGCGCAGTGTGATGACGTAAGGGAGTCCACGCCCGGCAGGGAGCCGCCATTTTAGTGATCTCTGTCGTGGCAGTTTTAATCTGTGGAGGAGTGTTGTTTAATTATGCTGGCATTTGAACGAACAGGGCCTGTAGAGGGATGGTGTAGCATGATGATTAAAAGTATAAATTTTAGAATTAAACAGTTGAATTAGAACCCGGCTCCACTGTCTGACTTCGGACAAATGTGACTTCTCTGAGTTTTCTCATTTGTAAAATAGAAATAGTATCCAGCCCTTAGACTTTAGTAAAAATTAAATGAGAATCATCTAGAATAGAGTTTGACAAATAGAACCACTGGGTAAGTGGCAGTTGTTTATAATAAGTGTATAAATACTGTAAATGTTCATTTTGTATTTTCAGGGCTGGGAATAAAGGGTTTAACTCAATATTCGGTTTCCAGATTAACCAGAAATACCAACATTTTGGGATAGGCATGGGTAGATGATTATGGAGGGCCCCTACATTTAACATTTTAATCTTTATGAGGCCCTATGTCCCTGCTGTCTAAATCTTCCAGTCTGTCCACTTAAGATTCTGCTGATCAGCCCAATATCAACATCCCACCTTCATCTTTCTATTGCCCCCCTACCCTAAAAAAATAAAAAAAAAACTTTTAGGCCCTGTTAAAAACAAGACTTTGACAATTAAAGAGATCACATATTTATTAAGAGTGAGAAAGTAAGAGAGAAAGACATTTGCAAGCACACAGTCATTTCTAGAGAAACTGCTGTGAGTATCGCAAAGCAGATTTTTGCTTATATGGCGTTTGCAATCTCCTGTTAAAAGAAAGAATGGTCAACAATTAACTTTAAAACAAAGATGAGAACGTCAGGGGACAGGGAAAGTAGATTAATGGAAACAGAACAACCAGAACAGAAATGAGAATGTTCACTCACTGTGAAGAATATAACCAATGTCACTGAACAGTTCGTGTAGGAATTTGTTGAATGGGAACCTAAACTGCTGTGTAAACCTTCACTGAAAACACAATAAAATATAAAAAGAAAATCATTCAAAAAAAAAACGTACAGATGGTTTTTTGAAGGTTATATGGTAATACAGAAGAACATGTCACACAGAATATACAAAACTTAAGAGATACAGGTCTTCGGAAAAAGAGATTTTAAGCTAAACATCTGCCGTCTGTTACTTCAAAGTGAGTAAGGCCCTTGGGAAACAAGAAGGGGCATTCTTTTTTTTTTGCTTTCCTGTTGGCTCCTGCCTTCTCATCCTTGCCCCTGGGCTGGTGAGCCTATTTAGTCTTGTATACATGGTTAGCTATGTGTATTATTTTTTGTTTTATTGGCCTGTCTAATCGTGTGCTGAAGGATGATCCTCAGGAGTGACTTTAGTACTGATTTAAAAGGGTGTCCAGGGGCCATAACTCTCAGAATTTCTCCAGTCTCTGTCAGAGCAATAAGTCTGGTCTTCTATTGTGACTTAGACTTTTGTTCTACATTTTTTTCCAGCTGTGTCTGGAACCCTGTATTGTGATTCCTGTCAGAGCAGTCAGTGGTGGTAGCTGGGAACCATCTAGTTGTGCTGGACTCAGTCTGGTGGAGGCTGTGGTAGTTGTCCATTAGTCCTTCTTTCACTTGTGTCTTAGTTATATAGTGCTGCTGTAACAGGAATACCACAAGTGCTTGGCTTTAACAAAGAGAAATGTATTTTCTCACAGTGTAGTAGGCTGTAAGTCCAAATTCAGGGTGCCAGCTCGAGCAGAAGAATTTCTCTCTCTGTTGGCTCTGGGGGAAGGTCCTTGTCATCAGTCTTCCCTTGGTCTAGGAACTATGCAGGAACTCCAGGTCTAAAGGACAGACTCTGCTCCCAGCGCTGCTTTCCTGGTGGTATGAGGTCCCCCTGTCTCTTTGCTTGAGTCTCTCTTTTATGTCTCAAAAGAGATTGGCTTAAATTGTAGATTAATTTTATAGATTGAGTCTACATAACTGCTGCTAATCCCATCTCATTAACATCATAGAGACAAGATTTACAACACATAGGAAAATCACATCAAATGACAAAATGGTAGACAATCCAACAATACTGGGAATCATGACCTAGCCAAGTTGACAGATATTTTGGGGGGACACAATTGAATCCATGATACCTTGTGTGTTTGGTTTTCTTCATTTTTCCCTTGCTCCAGATGGGGTGGGAGCAGTAGAGTACCTTAGATGGCTGCTCACAAGCTCTTAAGACCCCAGACGCTACTCACGAAAGTAGGATGTAGAACATTTTCTTTATAAACTATGTTAGGCCATTTGAGCTAGATGTCCCCTGAGACCATGGTCCCCAGGCCTCAGCCCAGTAATTTGGTACCTCAGGGAGAAGGGGCATTCTTTTTTTTTTTTATTGATGTAATTAAATGAAGTTTACATTTCAAGTTACTCTCCCATACAGAATTTTTTTCTTTTTTTAACATAAATTGTTATGAGACCCCAACTGCTCACCCCATTCTATGACAGCACACTCCTCCCCTCCACCGCTGATTCCCCATGAACATTCAACCATCTCCTAATTCTCTCTGCCTTCCCCTTTCACTTCTGGACAGAAGCCACCCCTTTGTTCTCTTATATCTACTTGTCTAAGAGGCACATTCTTCACGAATGTCACTTTATGTCCCACAGTCCAGTCCAATCCCTGTCTGAAGAGTTGGCCTCGGAAATTGTTTTAGTTCTGGGGTGATGGAGAGACCAGGGGCCATGCTTTCCGGGGTGCCTCCAGTCTTAGTCAGACCATTAAGTTTGGTCTTCTTACTAGTATTTGAGTTCTGCATCCCATCGTTCTACTGCTCCAGCAGGGACCCTCTGTTGTGTTCCCTGTCGGGACGTTCATTGGTGGTAGCTCGGCAGCATCTAGTTCTGGTCTCAGGCTGATGAAGTCTCTGGTTTATGTGGCCCATTCTGTCTCTTGGGCCAATGCTTTCCTTGTGTCTTTGGTGTTCTTCGTTCTCCTTTACTCTAAGTGGTTGGGACCAATTGATGCATCTTAGATGGCCGCTTGCAAGCTTTAAAGACCCCAGACGCCACTCCCCAAAGTAGGATGCAGAACATTTTCTTAATAAGGTTTGTTAGAGAAGGGCTATTCTTGAAGGATTAATGAGGGTAGTTTGCAGGGGTATATTTAAAGATAGGAGGCCTGATTGTGTAGTGGTTAAGAGCTCGGCTGCTAACTAAAAGGTCAGCAGTTCAAATCCACCAGCCACTCCTTGGAAACCCTATGGGGCAGTTCTACTCTGTCATGCAGGGTCGCTATGAGTTGGAACTGACTCGATGACACCGAACAACAACAATTTAATGATAAGACACCCAGAAGTCTTGGAGCATTGTCCAGGCTTCTGGGGAGTTGTTTGATTTCAACAGTCCTTAAGAACCTAAAAAATTAATCAAAAAACTTTTCCGCCTCCCAGAGTTCTAACCACCATTCTAGTCGACATGGCCCTGTTTGGGTTTTTTCTTGTAATGTGGCAACATAGTAGCTTGTAAGCTGGTCTCCCAACTTTGGTCTGTCTGCTTCTAATCCAATGCCCCTACTACAGTCAGAGTGATATTTCTAAATCACAGATCTGATTATGACACTCCCTTGCTTAAACTCTTCACTGTGCCTGCATTTCTTCCAGGGTAAGGCCAAATTCCCTCACGTGGCTGTAAGGCTTCATGTGATATGGCTGCTCCCAACCTTATTTGTTCTTTCTCACAAAACAGTTCCTGCTTTGAAGGGCCTGTGGTCTAGCCAGGGAGATAGATGAGAATATTGGCAGTTGCAGAGGATGCGCTGAGTGCTATGCCTGGGGTGATTACAGGATGCTCAGGAAGCAAAGGAGAAGCCTCTGATTTAGTATATGGGGGAGTATTGGGGAGAGACTTCCCAGAAGTCATACCTGTGGCTTAAAAGCAGAAGCGGTTAAGCAGTTGAGGGAACCGTGTGTACTAAGGCCTGCAGATGAGAGAAAACAAGGCCTCATCTCCTGCCTCCCTAACCTTGCAGCCTAACTTCTAATTATCTATGAGGCCATGCCCTTTCTTAACTCTGCCTGAAAAATAGTATTCTGAAATACCCCTCTTTCACCCCAGCCAGCTCAAGACTTCAGCTAATGTCTTCTCTCGATGCATGGATGGATGAATGGATGGATAGATACTCCGAGTATCTCATCTTCTCTGGTAGAGTCCACTGTCACCTATTGGAGAAGAACTCTCAAATTCTCCAACCTCATAGTTCTCTCCTGAGTTCCAGATCTGCGTATCTAACAGCTTATTAGACATTTCTGCTTAGATGTCCCCCCTAGTCACCTCAAACTCAACATGCTCAAAGCTAACCTCATCTTCCTACACAGACTTCCTCCTCCTCTTCCATTCCCTGACTCAGTGAACTGCAACCCATACGCAGCCAGTTGTCCAGGCCCGAAACTTGAGGATCCTTGACTCTTCATCTCCCTCATCTCCCGCATCCGATTAAGATTTAATCCCTATAGTGTTATTTCTCCCCTGGACTACCAGATCAGCTTCTAAGGAGTCTTCCATTCTCCCTAGTTCTGCTGAGGGAACATTTAAAAAGGGAGCACAAACCGCTACCTGTTTCACCCATTAAATTGTGAATTCTTAATAACAGGGATTAAGTCCTTTGTTCTCTGTGCCCCAGGGCCCCAGTATTCTTCTTAGCATAGAGCATGTGCTCATTGTTTTCAAATCAGTAAATGAATGAGTATAAAGGGGTTTGTCCCCTGCATTCTTGCAGTGCAGTGGCACATTCTCTCCACCAGGGGTCAGCCTGGCCAAGCCTTTTCATCCTGCCAGACACTGAGATGCAGCCCTGGTGGCTCAGTGGTTAAGACCTACGGCTGCTAGACAAAAGGTGCAGTTGGAGTCCGCAGAGGTT